GAATGTTTAGAAAAATAATTGTTCCAATTTAATGCCTGGAAATGTATTCAACTCAATTTGAAATGGAAGACTCTTAATTTAAACTTACCACGTAACTGTAAATACACAAATACATTAAATTCAATTAATTATATCTACTTAGGCATACATTTTATAAACTATTTGCTTGAAGGGGTGGAATAGCATTGATTAAACTCGAAAAAACATGAAGTTAGGTTAGAGTTGCAATCTCAGACAATGTGAATATAAAAATGATTGACGTACCGCTGAGTTCTCGCCAGGTCTGTGTCGGTAGCCTAATGGAAAATAGAAAAAAAAGCATCACCGGATTTCGATTTACACATATATTATTAATAAAATTCTATTTTGGCAACTATTTCCTGCTTCGCCCTCCTCATTGAGCCTCTAGCTGACTTGTAAAAGTACAATAATTCCACCCCGTCTTGGTTGATCAATGTACCAAATGACAGATTCATCGTATACTCGCATGGCGAAGATGTTGATGGAGTGGTTAACCACCATCTCAATTAAATGGAAGAGTTAAATATGGTACAATCTGGACGGCTAAAGCTCTCAAGAAGGTATAGTTTTAATTCTCCACACTAAAGCTATGCATTTGACAAAATATTGTCAATCCTCATTTCTGGAGTGGCACGATCCACTGGGATCTGTGAATTGACTAAGCCAAAATGTAGTATTTCTGTTAGATGACAGATGGATAAAGCTCTTCTCTCTTGTCCTGGTGTCGAGTTGCTCTGTATGTATGTCTCAGCATGGGCTAGGATGGACACCTAAAAGGCCCAGCGATGCACAAGTTCGAGTCTCTGCTGAATTCTCTTGTGGGCATCGAAAAAAAGTCCATCAGCTTTACTGTGCAAGACAGGAAATTCTTCAGAAGTTTGTCCTAAAAACATTTTACTAGCAATATCAAGACCTAATATTGCAACGAAAACAACAACAACAACTCCTCCTCCTACTACTACTACTACTATTCCTACTAGTAGAATTACAAAAACAACTACAACTGACAACAATGAAAATGTAAAATTAATGATATTAAAAATGAGTTAAAACTTACAAGACCGAGTTGAATGCCGCCCACTCTGGGCCCAGTGGATGCATCGACTATGCAATTGGTTTCGGCGAATTCGGCCGCCGAAGTTGTGAGCTGATTAGAACTGAACGAGTGTCGCGGTGGCAACAGTTCCTTCACAGACTCGTCAACATCGTCCTCCTTTCCCGGCTTCACGTTGAGCAGTGAGGTTGGGCTGGCCGCTGTCGAAAAAGATGCCCGTGATGCGAGGATGGGATTGGCAGTAATAACGGGCAGATGACTTGGCGCGAGTGGCGCAAGCTCGGGGTCTATCAGAAAGAGCTCATTCGAGCTACAAATGTCAGTGATGAAATGCACTGACTCGCGGTTGCGATCTACCCGGAAAAAGCGTTTTCCAGAAGTTGTAGCTAAATGGATGACAATAGTAGTGGTTATGAGAACGACTTTTGTAATATTCGAATTTTTTATTGGTTTTAGACTCTTTATACATTTTAGCAGAATATTTAGTTATTTTAACTTTATATTTTTTACATTTGCGTGGCGATTTGGGATGCATTTAAGTGTAAATCTTATGAATTTTCCATGCTATCAGGATGATTAGAGAAATTATACAGCAAAATATGCATATTTTGCCTAGGTATTTGAGCATACTACTTAATATGTATAGAGTAATAATGTAAATTATTATAGCAAATGGTAACATTTTCGAGTTTGGAGCTATCTGGAGTGCCGACGAATTCGAGTCCAGTTTTAGTGAAAGTAAATAGCATCGTAAAGCTTCCTACTTATTTTATTTCAAAAAAGACAACCATGGACGATGTTTCCAAAATCTAAACTCTATTTTCAAGCTATTTTGCTTTAATTCATATTTTTATGTCGGAGCCATCCAATCTCAAACTTTTGGTAGGATGGATAGCATGATGTCGAAAAATTGGAAGCTGAGTCTCTTTTAAAAATGATTTTATTATCATCTAACTATTCCATGCATCTTGAATAACTATACTTACTTTATCCGTAGGAGAGTGGGGTAAATTCTGAACTCATCTATACTTTTTCTTTACCGCCAAAATAATAATTAGTCTGCATTAGGGCGGTATTAGCCTAGACAGTGAAGGCAAGAAGGTGGGTACTGTCTTGCTGTTACATTCGACTCCGGTAGATGTACCATTATTTCGAGAGATTAATGACAATTCTCATTAACCTCAATTTGCGTGTTGATCTTCTCATAGACAACGGCTGTGGCTGAATTCAGCCAAATTAATGCACTCACGGGCCAAATAGAGGCTGAAAGAAGGGGTGAATTTGGGGACTAATGGAAATTAGTGAAAACGGTATCCGTCTCAATGGTGTGGACGGGGCAGGAAGAGGTATGAAAGTAGAGCAAATTGGCCCATTTGGATGGTGGACCGCTGTTAATGCCGTCTCGTCCGGTATAAACTCTTGTGCCTTTGCCAGTATCAGGCCAGTTTCAAATGCTCTCTCTCTCTCTCTAATGCTCAGCAACAGTGGGACTATTTTTAGCCCCCCACCAAAGAGCTGCAGCCAAACTACCGCCTAGACCCTCACAAATGTGGGCAAACCGCCTCATAAAGCCCTATGTTAAGTGTAAAATAGTGAACTCCAAAGCTCCCATTCAATGATACAATTTGTGATTGGCTTAAGGGATGATTGAATAGAAAAGGGAAATTGGATAAATAACGTCAAATTGATCTTTCACAACAAATCATATCAAGCTTCTCGCCATTCTTTATCCATTTCTCCTTGAGACGGTTCCCTCAACTTGTCCAGCATTCTTTAGGTCCATAGATCTGTCCGTGTAAGATCAAATTCCAGGTAAATGTGCATTCATTTAGTCGTGCAAAATAAGGATGAAAAGAGGAAATAAATGTGAAGTTGTTGACAAGCCCTCGATGTCACAAGCACAGGTATGAGCATTTGATCGCACTTGAAAGTCAATTAATTAAAGCCATATGCACTTCTTGTCATTCCTGCTTCGAAGGAGGGCTAATGGCTACTGAAGTATCAACAATCCAGCTGCCTCATCAAGCTGACTATACAAAATTGTCAATTTGGCATGAGTCTAGATAAAAATGTTTTTGACATATTCAACCCAAAATTGCAATTAAACAAGATCGGAGATTGTCCATTTTTCATTTATATAGTTACAAAATAAATAAATAGGAACTCTAGTTACTCCAGGTTTAATAAATTGATAAACAAGTAATAGCTGAATTTGTAGTATTATATGGTATAAATATATATTTATATATATATCATGTAATATAGAAAAATCAGTCATCAGTTGTTAATCAACTCATTAGCCAGGCAAAACGGTTGCCAACGATGTCAACTGACAAAAGAAATATGAGGGGTCTTCTAGAATCGGTAAAATCTCGTTACAACCAAATTTTTGTTATTGCACAATTTATTTCCTTGTCATGAAAGTACGTTATATGGGACAAAGAAAAAAAGAAAAATCTCAATGTAAAAAATACTTAACTATCTTGTGATTAAGGAAATTTATCTATTATCTATATATATATATATATATAGTTAATTATATTTTACATTGAGATTGCTCTTTTATCTTTGTTCCATATAACGTAAATTCATTATAAGGAAATAAATTATGCCATTTAAAAATTTTCGCTGTAACTAGATTTAAATATATATAATATAGTAAATTATTCTTTACATTAAGATTGCTCCTTTATCTTTGTCCCATATAACGTGATTTCATTATAAGGAAATAAATTGTGCAATTAGAAAAGATTCGTTGTTACTAGATTTGATTATATATAATATAGTTAATTATATTTAACATTGAGATTTCTCCTTTATCTTTGTCCCATATAACGTATTTTCATTATAAGAAAAAAATCGTGCAATTACAAAAGATTCGTTGTTACTCAATTTGATTATACATAAATATAAATAAATAAATAAACAAACAAATAAATATATAAATATATAGACATATATATGTGCAAAGAGCTCGAAAACCTGCGTCTAAAAGAAAAACAAGTAATATAGTCTATTGATAGGACAAATACAACTTGGCTTTATTGACAATTCCATCACAGAATGTGACATTGGAGGTGCCTGGACCTCCGCGAAATTCAAATCTGACCTGTGACCCAAAGGCAATAGTACAGTCTGGTGCAGTAGGTGATGTGTCGATACTATATGCTGCACCAGTATGGTTCGAGTCCAGCTGGGGGTGCTAATAGGACAAGTTCAGGCGAGGTCGAATCCACATTCCACGTCAGCCTAGATGAGAATACCTTTTGGGAAAGCAAAGCTATGCGAAATTCTATGGAAATTTAAGGTCAACTCGTAGCTTTGTGGGAAAATTGAACAGAACAGCGTAAATACATCTCCATTTTCTTGTGTATCGCCGTACATTGTTAGGGGGACCTTCATTTCGAATGAAAGTACATGAAGAAGAGATTCGTTTTTCGATCTCACCAG